GGAAATTATTTGTGACACTACTGACTTCAAATTCTCTAGAGAGACCAGAAGTGGTTTGGGATGCTGTGTGGCATCATCTGTCAGACGATGCGCAATACAATTTGTGTCGATGATATTGTGATCAAGGTGTTGTATTACTACTTGATATGATTATAGTTTTCCAAATTCGAATGTTGACCAATAGAGCCGTATTTCCAAATTCTTCTTCTTTGGCTTTTGTTGCGACGTCTAAAATAAACAAACAACTTAGTATTGCCTAATATTAAAAAAAAAAATGGTGGCATTTGAGCATGATTTTAGGTCATGCATTGTTGCGTTAGAATGTTAGTTTTGTAAATAGAATTAAAAATTATAATTATAATATTTAGGAACAGAGCACCTTTTTTGCATTTATTTTAATTTACAAATATTTAGAGAAAAAAAGTGACTTAAAATACATATTTGTCTCTATTTTTAACCGTCCAAATACATATTCCGTAATATGAATAATAAATAATTTATCAGAAAAGCACTATCTAAGTATATAATTGAGGGGAAGAAAATGTCATTTCCCTTATTTCTATATGAGTTAATTACCAAAATGGTCCATTGACTATTGCGAAATTATTAATTTGGTCTTTGACTAATTTTTTACCACATAAAGTCCTCGACTTTATAAATATTAATCAATATGGTCCTCCGTTAGGTTTGGGGTCTAAAGTTTGTTAAAGTCGAGGGTAATAAAAGAATTTCACCGGCTCATGGTCTAGAACCTTCCTCCTCAACCACCTCATTCACAGCCCGTTCATTCTCTATTTGTTATCGTCTGTGTTTGAGGCTGTGGTGTCGTCCGAAGTTTCTGTTTTTTCGCTGCTTGTTATGGTTAAGCACGACCATGTGGAGATGCTTTTTGTTTCTTTTACTGCCATTATGATTATTTCAGGTGTTTTGTTGAACTTTTGATCTTTCGTTTCTTTCATGCTTTCTTCTTCTTTGGCTTTTTTCTTCTTCTTCTTCAACTGGTAGACGTAGAGAAAGACAAGTGCCAAAAGGCCTAATCCGGCCAAGTCTCCGACGACAATTTCGGCCATTGTTCCTGGTTTTAGCCCGTGTTGTGGCTGATCCTGAGCTGTTCCGCCGGAGCTTGGAACGGGGGTTGAGACGATGGTTTTAGGAATGGTTGCGATCGTCGGTGGAGACGTTGGGTGGACTAGATAGAGTTGATGGAATTGTGCAGAGTTTCTTGAGCGGCTTCCCACAAAGATCAACGTTCCCGGCGAAGAACTCCGTTTTCTGATTGTTCAGCGCCATTGATTCTGGGATTTCTCCGGTGAGGTTGTTGAATGAGAGATCAACGGTAGCATTCACCGGCGGGATTTTCTTCGGCAAACCCCGGAGAAAGCAAACCAGAAAGCCTGTTGGAAGAGAGATTCAAGTATTTAAGATTCTCCCACCAAACTTTTCCGGCAACGATCCGTTCAACAAGTTGGAAGACAGATCCAGCACTTGAACAAACTGAAATCTTCCCGGAATACCACCGAAAAAATAGTTACTCCTCAGAGAAACCACACTAAGATTCCACAAAGAACTTATCTTCTCCGGGATTTCTTCGGCCAAGGCGTTGTCGGAATGATTCAGAAGCTTCAAACTCTTCATCCCTCCGCCAACACCTCCTGGAAGCCCACCATAAATCACATTACTGGAAAGTGAAAGCCCCTGAAGCTCCGAAGCATAGAAAAGCGAGGAGGGCAGAGTTCCATTCAAGAAATTCCCAGAGAGATCAAGCGTTCTAAGATACGGAATGAAACCGAAATCTTTCGGAATGGAACCCAGAAGCTTGGAATCAGGGAGAGCCAAACTTATAACTCTGAAAACATCTGGATTTCCAAGAGACGCTTCAACTTGAGCACAGATCACACCATTCCAACGAAGGACCATATCGGTTAACATTTACAAAGTCAAGGGACCATTTTGGTGAAATTCCTTTATTACCCTTAATTTTAACATACCTTAGACTCCAAACCTAACGAAGGACCATTATTAGTTAACATTTACAAAGTCAAAGATTTTTTTTTTTTTTTTTACAAAGTACCGGCGTATATTAAATCAGAACAAGTGTCTATACACATAGTGGCCACCACAAGAAATATGCATATATACACACTTGGAGTTCATATAGAATCTCCAAGCAACTCCAAAGCCTAAGGCCAAATAAGGCCTAGATCCACACGGCCATTCGCCCTCCACCACCTACGGCCAAAGCCTCTAAACCAAAACTAGCTGAAATGTGTATATGCCAAGGCCATGAGGCTCAAACTCATTAATAAGGAGCTCTCCAAAATGTTCCAAGTTAGAGAACCCTTAACCACCAAAACTTCTCAAAACCTTAGCCGAAAATTGAGCTCCCCGTGTGGGACTGATGCCATCCAAGAAGATCCCTTTCTACCCTAAGTCTCCCTTAGGCCAAAGCCCCATCCCCACCGGCACAGCGCACTGTGTCTTACCCGGGAGAACAGCGCACTGTGTCTTACCCGGGAGAACTTAAGGGACCCGACCTAAGCAAAGACTCTCACCCCCTTCCACCCTCATACCCATGGCTCACGCCCCGTGGCATAGCGAACTATGTTTTTATCCGGAGGGGCTTTGTAGAGCCCCGATATGAGCAATGGCTCCCTCCCCTTCACCCTTAGGCCAAAGACCAACCCCTACGGCATAACGTACTATGTTTTAGTCCGGGGGGCTTTTGAGGTCCCAACCTAAGCAATGAATCTCCAAGCACTCTTTCCCCGTTCCCAAGTTTATCATTCTTTTTTCATTGCTCCTTCTTTTTTCATTCTTTCCTTTTTCCTCCTTGTTTTCCCCATTCTCTTCTTCTCGCTTTTTTCTTTTCCTAAGAGATCCACCTCTTCAAGCACTCCCATCTCAGGGTGTGTGCTATACTTGGAGCTCAAGCTCAGCTCTTTCCTCAAAACACAAACCCCAATGGGTGTTCTAACTTCTCAACATCAAGGAGAGCCCACCCATTTAATAAGCAAGCCCCTAACCCTCCCATATTCCACAAAACCAAGCTTCTAATATCTGAATTTTCTGTGTGAATCTAGCCTCTTTTTATGTTTTATTTGGCCTTATTGCCTTCCTGGTTCCAGCTTAGTCCTTCAGCATGCTGCTCCTAGCTTCCAAGCCAGCTCCCAAGGTACCTACAAGAAAAGGCTTCATTTCTGTAGCAAAGCTACAGATCAGCCAACAGAAATCTGCACAGCAGAGCAGCGTAGGCTTTTTTCTGCTGCCAGTACCACATCCAAACCTGTATACCCTCAGAAGTGCCCAGGTAAGCACATCATCCTTGGGTTGCAGCATTTTCCAATTAACCCTCACACCCCTCAAGGTTGCCAATCCATCATTGGGGTGTTGCAGGCTTCCTTTCTTTTCCCTTAATTTTGCTAGCTGGCAGAATTGGTCTCAAGCCATCTAGCTCTCATAGACCAGTTCCCCATCTAGCTCTCTCAAAGCCCTCAGTTATTGCCTACCAAAGCAACACTTCATTGGGATTTTGGGTGATAGATCAAGCCTCAACTATCTCATAGCTTCATAGACTAGATCTCCCAGGGTCTAAAAGAATGGCAGAACCAGTCTCCACCCTAAGGTTTCCTGAACTGGTTCCCCATGCCTTCATATCCTCAAAACTGCTCAGGCAAGCAGGTTATCATTGGGATGTTATTTCAACACAGATTGCAGAGAAATCATTTCCAAAATTGAGTCAAAGACTTTATTTGGTAAAAAAAATAGTCGAAGAGCAAATTGGTAATTTCACAATAGTCAAAAGACCATTTTGGTAAGAGAAAATTTCAATTTTGGTCCACTGACTATTGGAGTTATGTTAATTGCAGCACTTGACTTTCAAAAATGATAATTTAGTACCTTGACTATGCAATTTCTATCAATTTTGGTCACGCCGGCCAAATTGCCGGCCAAATCTCACCGGAAAAATTTTAATGGTCAAATTATGAGGTTAATTTAGTCATTTTATTCCACTTTTCTTTCTTCTCCAATCTTCTCTCCATCTCCGGCGACAATTTATTTTCCGATGTAAAGACGAACCTTTGGAGCCTCGCGACCTGAGAAAGAATACACGCGTAAACAAAGGGGGGATACACCGACAATTTATATAGAGAGAGAACTGAAGAGAAAAATAAAAAATAAAAAAATACACGCGTAAACACAGTATGCAGATAGAGGAATCGATCGGTCAATTTCTTTATATCTTTGAATTGCCATTGTGGAATTGATTTTCCTCAGACTTTGTTCTGCGATTGTGGGATTTGGGTTGTCATTTAATTTGGTCGCTTCTCGAATTGAGATCCCGTAGTTTGATTTTACGTCGAGGGAATCCTCGGATTCCTTGTCGTTTGCCGCCAGTTCCCGGGATTTATCTTTTTTTTGGCGATCGTGGCCGAGGTCGGGTCGTCGGAATTGGAATTGCGTTGTTTTCCGAGGTAGAAAGGGGGGCTCGGGATGAGCGATGTTGACCTTCGCAGTAGGTTTCTGATGTAATATAGTAGTGGTGGTAGTGGTGCACACAAACGAAGAAGATGTCGCTTTACATTGGTGTATTCTTTGTTTACGCGTGTATTCTTTCTCAGGTCGCGAGGCTTCAAAGGTTCGTCTTTACATCGGAAAATAAATTGTCACCGGAGATGGAGAGAAGATTGGAGAAGAAAGAAAAGAGGAATAAAATGACTAAATTACTCTCATAATTTGACCATTAAAATTTTTCCGGTGAGATTTGGTCGGCAATTTGGCCGGCGTGACCAATATTGATAGAAATTGCATAGTCAAGGTACTAAATTATCATTTTTGAAAGTCAAGTGCTGCAATTAACATAACTCCAATAGTCAGTGGACCAAAATTTAAATTTTCTCTTTTGGTAATTAACTCCTTCTATATTCACAAAATTAATGCCTTATGTGATATGTCCTTTCCAACTGCACCACAAACATCTTTTAGTGAATAGATGACGCCGTTTTCCCATGCACTCGATCGTCTGTGCTCACTTTTCTTGCCGGAAAATTTTCAGTGATCTACGCATATACTCATACAAGTTGTATACACATGTTATGTATATTGGTATTATGCTGCATATCTTCTATGGAGTAGCTCATTCCTCATTGCTAAGATTGGTAAGGGTAGGGTTCTGACTTCTGAACCATTTATCATATTTCTATTCTCTCACGTTTACTTCCACTTTGCATCAGTTGAAATTTTCTTTTTAATCTTCATAGTTCTTTGCTTGCTTGATTTCTAAATGTACACATTTCTGATAATTGATTTCAAAGTTCAGGGGTTTTTTAATGACCTTTTTTTTCACAGAAAGGGGGAAAGAATGGCTAATTCGGATGGCTGGGTTTTGAGTTTTGAATTGAGCTTTGCATTGTTCGATTGTTGAAAGAAGGAGTGGAGAAAAAATTATTGTATATTTTTATAATTTCTGGGCTTTACTTTTGTTGATAATACAATCATTACAATGTTAGAAAGTTAAATACGAGTTATACCGAAGAAAACTGTTGTTCCATTTTAAAATCTCTTAGCTTATTTGTTTTGATTGTTGAAATTGGATTTTAAGAAAGTTTGCAGAGATTGTGGGATGTTGATTGTTGAGCTTTTGTGTGAGAATGGAAAATAATTAAAATTAGAAATGAAGTGGAAAATATTGCAATTTGTATATTTCTGCAGCTTGAATGCAAAACTATACTGTGAAATTTAATAGTTGAATGACTTGTCTAGCCCATGGAGTGAACTAGTTTGGCTTTAGTTCTATAGTCTGCATTCTAAGTTAAAAAAGGTAGGATCCAATATGCAAGGCTCCTGCATCATGCAGTTTTCATGGCTTCAAAAAGAATAATTATGCAATCTTACTTTGTTTTGATTTTGATTTTGATTTTGATTTTTTTCCTGTATGACTTGGAACTGGCAATGCAATATACAATGAATGACCATTGGCTTCTGCTTCAAATCCAACCATTAGAATTTAGGTAAATAAATTAGTGTCATTTTGTCCACTAGTCTCTGCTTAATAACTTCTCTATGATTATCTAGTACTATGTATCCATATTGACAAGTGGTTGACATTGATTATATCATTTTGTTGTTCACCAGAGGCACTTCTAAATCCATTTTAGGCCCTATCATCTTGAATAGTTCCACTAGCTTAAATTTTGAATTGGCAGTAATTAGTAATTTGCTTAGGGCAAATATGATTTGATTTATTTAACGCAATTAGGTCTATACTCCCTCACATAGCCTTTATTTGTGATGAGCACAGAAAGGGTGTGTAATATTGCTAAGAGTCTTTAAAAACTTTCTTTTCGACATTAAGGAATTCCAATTTTCTTGTTGAACTTAGAGAATTAGGACTTGATTTGCAATAGATTCATGACTTTGTGTTACTCATTACAGAGCAAGGGATTCTATGATAAAGCAGTCTGGATAAATGATTCTGCAGTAGCTTAGAATAATTCCTCAACAGTTGGATCCAGAAGTTGACTTCAGTGGTTTGTGGATCGTTGTCAGTCAGAGTTACCCCCCAACAAGGGACTAGCAGTTGAAGGGACAAACCGTCATTCATTTTCTTCACTATGAAGTTCAAACATCTTTTGCCCCCGTTGAATGCCATGAGTTTCCACTTGGTACCAGTGCAATATACTGAGTGGCTTGTAGGCAATGGGATTACAAAACCCGTTCACTATAATGAGATACATGCTCCATCAGTTGGCATTGGAAGCATGAGTATGGCTAGAAAGCCAATAGAGAGTTCCACTAAAATTGATTCCTCATTGGGGTTTTCCATAGTTCACTTTGTTAAGGGTCCTAGAATAGGCTTAACTGCAGAGGAATTATAAAGGTTAAAGTCAGCCAGGTGAAGGAAACTGATCAGTTCATAGCTGTGATAACAGGTGATACCTATACCATGGGTATTACTGTATTAGTAGTGCCTTGTCAGCTACTAATGCTTTTAGCAATTCAAATGAACATTCACAATCCTCAGGGCTCTCTTTCAAGGGAGTTGATAATTGTTGAGAAAGAAGATGTAGAAGAAGTTTTTATTACTTGCTTGTCTCAATGAGGAGACAATAGATAAATATATATACAGACTAAGAGACACAATCCTAATAGACACAACCCTACACAACTTCAACAGCTATATTTCTACAGACACAACTTTTGTGTTTCAACACTCCCCCTCAAGCTGGAGCATGTATATCATATGCACCAAGCTTGTTACAAATGTATTCAATCCTATGACTTCTTAAAGCTTTAGTAAATATATCAGCTAATTGATTATTTGAGCCTATAAAAGATGTAGTAATATCTCCAGAAGTAACTTTGTCTCGAACAAAATGGCAATCAATTTCAATGTGTTTCGTCCTTTCATGAAAAACTGGATTTGATGCAATATGCAAAGCTGCTTGGTTATCACAAATGAGCTTCATGGACTCCTTTGTACAAATCTGCAGTTCGGTAAGGAGGTTTTTCAACCACACAAGTTCACATGTTCCAACGGCCATAGATCGATATTCGGCTTCTGCACTTGATCGAGCAACAACATTTTGCTTTTTACTTTTCCAAGAGATTAAGTTGCCACCAAGAAAGATACAATATCCAGATGTTGATTTTCTATCCCATGCACCTGCCCAATCTGCATCTGTGTACCCAATAATTTCAAGGTTTCCATGGTCTTTGTATAACAAACCAGTGCCTGGAGATTTTTTAATATATCGTAAAATCCGAATGGCAGCTTCCCAATGACTTTCACGTGGAGATGCCAAGAACTGACTAACAACACTTACCGCAAAAGAGATATCAGGTCGAGTTACAGTTAAATAAAGTAATCTTCCAACCAATCGTCTATATTTTCCCGGGTCTTGGATAAGCTCCCCCTGGTCTGGTAGGAGTTTGATATTTGGATCCATAGGAGTGTCAAGAGGGTTTGCAATTCATCATACCTGTGTCTTCTAGTATATCCAATGCATACTTTCTTTGTGATATGCAAATTCCTTGCTTGGATTGTGCTACTTCAATTCCCAAAAAGTATTTTAACTTCCCCAGATCTTTTGTTTCAAAATGTTGGAATAGATGTTGTTTCAACAATTGTATTCCTTCAACATCATCTCCTGTAATGACAATATCATCAACATATACAACAAGATAAATGCTCTTACCATGTTGATGTCTATAAAAGACGGAATAGTCAACTTTGCTTCGATTTAAACCAAAATTTTGCACTACTATGCTGAACCGTCCAAACCAGGCACGAGGAGATTGTTTTAGACCATAGAGAGAACGTTTGAGCTTACAAACCAAGTTACTCTCCCCCTGAGCAACAAACCCAGGAGGTTGCTCCATGTAGACTTCTTCCTCTAAATCTTCATGCAGAAAGGCATTTTTAATATCTAACTGATGCAAGGGCCAATGATGAACGGCAGCCATAGAAAGAAAGATTCTGACCGAAGCAATTTTAGCTACTGGTGAAAAGGTGTCAGTGTAATCAATCCCAAAAACCTGTGTATATCCTTTAGCTACCAGTCGAGCTTTAAGTCTATCAACTTGTCCATTGGGCCCAACTTTCACAGTATAGATCCATCGGCAACCAACAGTTGTTTTACCTTCGGGTAATGAAACTAACTCCCAAGTTCCCGATGAATGAAGAGCAGCCATTTCATCAATCATAGCCTGACGCCAACCAGGGTGGGAAAGGGCTTCTTTAACAGATTTAGGGGCAGAAACAGAAGATAAACATGTGATAAAAGCATTATATGAAGGTGAGAGATTATCATATGAAATAAAGTTGTATATGGGAAAGGGATTTCGTGATGACCTGTTACCTACACGACTTGCAATAGGAGAGCTTGTTGCCGGAACCGGGTTCGAGGGCATAGATAGCTCGAGAGATGAATCAGTTGGGATTTCATCGATTTGAACTGTCGCGGGTGGTCGAGAGCGGCGATGATAAGTGTAAGGAAAGGGGGTAACACCGTTGTTTTGTAAAGGAGGTTCAGTAGGTGAGGGACTAGGATTTCTAGGTGATGACGGATCTTGAGGTAAATGTACCTCGGTCCCTCCTTGAAAAGTAGGAACAGGAAGAACATCAGGAAAATGAGAGATGGAGGTCGGTAAACTAGACGAAAAGAAAGGTGTTGATTCAAAGAAAGTAACATCAGAAGATACATAAAATCGATGCTTATCAGGAGAATAACATCTGAAACCCTTTTGCAACCTAGAGTACCCAACAAACATGCATTTTAAGGATTTTGGAGAAAATTTATCACGCCCTGGGGTAGTGTCCCGGACAAAACAGGTGCACCCAAAAATTTTTAAAGGAAGAGTATGAAGAGGCTTATCGGGAAATAAAATATTATAAGGTATCTTACCATGTAAAACAGATGAAGGCATACGATTTATTAAATAACAGGAATGAAGGATAGCATCTGCCCAGAATTCTGGAGGGACTTTATAGTGGAGAATCATGGTGCGGGCTGTTTCAACGAGATGCCGGTTTTTACGTTCAGATACCCCATTTTGTTGTGGAGTATCGGGACAAGATGACTCATGGAGGATGCCCGCTGAATCAAGAAAGTTAGATAAAGGAGTTGTAAAGTATTCTCCAGCATTATCACTTCGTAAAGTTTTAATAGACACCCCAAACTGATTTTTTATCTCATTAACAAATTTTTGAAGAACATTAAGTACTTCAGAACGGTTTTGCATTAAAAAGACCCATGTACAACGAGAAAAATCATCAGTGAAGGTAACAAAATATTTAAAACCAAGAATTGAATTATAACGAAAAGGTCCCCAAACATCAGTATGAACTAAGGAAAAAGGGAAAGCAGCTCTTTTATTAACACGATTAGGAAACGATGTTCTAGAATGTTTGCCAAGCTGACAGGCTTCACACTCTAGGGTAGATAAGTGAGACAAACTAGGGACAAGTCGCCGTAATTTTTTAAGGCTAGGATGTCCTAGTCGGTCATGGGCAAGGGAAGGAGGAATGGTAGCAGTGCAAACTGTAGAAGGGTTTGGGGTAGATAATCGATAAAGTCCTTCTGATTCATACCCCGAGCCAATCATCTTCCCCGAACGACGGTCCTGCATAATGACAGAATCAGAAGAAAAAGTGACCGTACAGTCCAAAGATTTTGTAAGTTGATGAACAGAAATTAAATTGAAAGGACAGTTAGGTATATAAAGAATTGAAGAGAGAGGCAAAGTAGGAAGGGGGGAAGCCTTTCCAATTGCAGTAGCCGTACTCTTGGACCCATTACCGAAAACAATAGATGGAAGGGACTTAGACTTGGTGAAATGAGAAAATAAAGATGAGTTACCAGAGATATGCTCAGAGGCACCTGAATCGATAACCCATGGTCCGCTCAGGCCAGATTGTGATACAAGGGCAGTATGAGTTCCATCAGTGTAGGCTGCAGGAGTTAAACCAGAAGCTTTGGGAGTGGCTTTAAATCGAACAAACTCTTCATACTCAGCAGCGGAAATGGTTCGAGAATTTGGTTCCCCAGGTTGAGATTGAGCAACACTTGCTTGCGTACGTATCGGTCTCCCATGAAGTTTCCAACACTGATCTCGTGTGTGCCCAGTTCTATTACAATAATCACACACTCTAGTGTTTTTCTGTCCACCACGATTGTTAGTTCGTCCACGACCACCTTGTGTGACTAGAGCAGATTGTTCGGTAGTGGATGTGTGAGTACTCGGAATGGAGGTGACCTGCAAGAGCCGTTTGAACAACTCGGTGGTCCCCGGGACAATGTTGCTTCCAAGAACTTGATTCCGGATGCTTTCAAATTCTGGACCTAATTTGGTTAAGAGAAGTATGACAAAGAATTTCTCTCGTTGGGTAAGTTGCTCTGCGGGTGTACCACCAATAGGCATGAGTGTACCAAACTCAGCAATCAAACTTTGGGCTTTGCCAAGAAAAGTTTCCATATCAATACCATCTTTCTTCAAGTTAACCAAATTGTCAACAACATTATAGAATTGAGAGACATCATTAGTGTACAGAGATTGAGCTTGACTCCACACCCCGACACATGTCTTAAAGGGCCGGAATAAAGGCAACAATTGTGGAGAAAGAGACTGCCAAAAGAGACTACAAAGTTGAGCATCTAACCTTTGCCAAACTGTTTTTTCTTTTTCCGGTATCATATCCACTTCTTTTTGCAAGTGGTCAACAACACCTTGGCCCATAAACCATAATTCTACGGCATCCGACCAAGAGTGGTAATTTTGAGAACCACATAATCTTTCAGAAGTGATTACCGGGTTTCCAGACAGATTAGGCACATAAACAGAGCTCGAAGAAGTAGATAAATTATTGGCAGGAGAAATAGTACCCGAATTAGCAGAATTTCCGTCGGAAGGCATCGTGACCAAAAATAAATCTGATTGCACGGAAGGAAAGGAGGAGAGCCGACGATACGATCTGGAAAATCTCGCCGGAAAAGGCCGCCGGAGAAGGCCTCACGCGCCGGCGCGTGGTGTCGGAGCGCCGGCGACGCGGTGGCGCGTGGAGGAGATTCCGGCGACCGGAATTGATGGGTAATGGTCGCCGGAGGATGGGTAAGGCGGCTGTAGTACTAATTTGATAAAATATCTCACCAATAGCAAGTAATTTGAAAAATTAATTTCGAATGAACAGTAAATGTACTGTTCACCGGAAAAAAAAATTTCAAATTTTGACTTTTGGCTCTTGATACCATGTTGAGAAAGAAGATGTAGAAGAA